AATGCTTAGAATGGTGTGAAGTGATAAGCTTTAGTATTCTCCATTTAAGGTCAAATCTCACTGCACTCATCAGTGAATGAGCAGTCAATTGCGAAAATTGTACTCCCATGAAATCTTTCGGAAAAACCTTTGGAATTATGCAAAACATTGGTTTTTTAAATGTTCATCCACAACAGTCATAACTACATCCTTAGTTTGAAATGTTGATTCTCTGGAATTCACTTAATCATTCATATGAGCTGAGCATGTAACTGAAATGAAACAGAATTCATCGCTGTTTTCGAAGTGCTAGAAGACTGTGATTGAATCATTTTGAAGGATATACCGTCTGCACCATTGAGTGTAGTATCGAAAACAGTGAAAGATACGAGCAGTAAACGAAAATCGGATAAGGATAAGAGACATAACGGCAGCACTGATAAGGTATTCGATAGTCTAATTCAGCTTTCAATTCCCTGTGATTTTTTTCGTTGGACTGTTTGAGAAGGCAAAAATTGTGAACAATTGATCGCTTGTTTAACAGGTGATGTATTCACCGAAACGCTCGGTGGAGAATGGCAACGTTGAGGTAACGTCAAACGCAAAAGTCGATGAAACTGCGATTGCAACAGTTAAAGATGATGTTAATGATCACACTGTCGATTCNATCCTAAAAAAGCTATTCGAAACGCTTTTATAAAATGGTTTCGTCGCAATGATTGATTCGATTATCCTTCTCTTTAAGCGTACGTCTGCACTGAGGTGCACGTATTCTCGTCTTAGTATCTGAGTGTACCCATTCTGGTTTTATTATCACTAGCATTCAGACTGATGCATCTAAATGCATTCGATGAATAAACTATTGCATCGCATTTATTTGCAAATGCATACAAATGGCAATCAGTACTAATATCATGCAATACATCATTAGTAATTTGACTTTAGATTGAAAGCTTTTTCTTCTTCTCGAGTAGATTAAAAAATAAATAAACGACGATTTACAATATGAATCTACGGTTTTATTATTTAATGCTTTCGTAAAGTGTACATTATGCATGTGGAACCTGTAATGGGGAGTAATAAATAATTTAGATTGTTGTTTATGTGAAACAGTAGTGGTAATGGTAATAATAAGAATAATAGTGATGCGCCATATTCAACGAAGAAATGAACAATGTGATTGTAAGCAGTGAGCAATAAATAAACAAATTGCAGAATGCAGCAAATAACGATAACGATAGCAACACTGGCAACAATTGCTCGGAACAGAGCAGTGACGGTGATAGTGGCGCAGCAACAGTGTGTATTGCAGATGAGGAGATGATCATTCGGACGGATGAGGAGGTTGTTGATGTGGATGATGAGGAGCAATATATGAGTGCTGATGAGGGAGTTAATTCCGGGGCGAGTGATGACGTGGTCAGTTGAGTTTTTAGTTGACTTTAGCCATTTTTCAGCAGTTGAATTATGTTGGGCAATCGCATTTTGAATGGTTGAGTGTTGTTATTTTTGTAATTTGAGAACGATTGNTGAAATCGCATTTCCGAAGTGTGAATGATAACAAAAGTGGTGCATTTATACAGAACCCTTCGAAGGCATCTACAAATTTTCTGGATTTGTTTTCAGTATCACACCGACGAGTTGTCGGGAACGTCTGGTTCACGTGATTTGATGAGTGATGGAGGCAACTTTCGTGCAGATGATGAACCGGTCATCCCGAATAGTGCCGCAGCCGAAGAAGCTGAATTTATTCCAGTCACTGCCAAATCAAGGAAGAAAACCGCTCCTCCGGCAATCAACGTCGACAAAAAGCATTCATATACGGGGTGAGCATGAAAGACATTAGAGAACTTCAGCTTTATTTGCAATTCAGTGGGTGGCAGTTTTCAATTGGAGCATTCAATTGTGTGCACATTAAGAGCATTCTTTTACGGCTGCCGTATGTTTGTCAATGATTTGAATTATTTTAAGAAGGCTCAGTCCAGTGCACACGGCTATTTTATGGCTATTTGTTTCATTACAATTTCAGTATTGTGGACAAGGGTGGAAATTCTCGTGGCGGAGGTGCGCTAAAAGATGGCGGTATGGGTCTGAGGCAGAGACGTAACTCGGCGCAGTTGACGATTGAGACTGGTACATCGTCACGCGCATATCACCATTCGCCATCACCAAACGAGCGTGTTGTCGTATGTTTTTCGTTTCATTTTTTTCGTGATGTCACTGCTTATTGTGACAGCATTTTGTTATCGAATTCAATCAACCATCGATTTTATGCGTAGACATTCTATTCATGNAGCAGAAATACTCTGGTCCACCCACCCGAAGGCAGTTGAATTCACTTGCTGACTATATTGAAGATAACACTGTGATAAAGGCTCAGTCACATAAGGTCTGTATTTTGTTGTTTGTGTGATAGTAGCATGTTCATTAGCTGCGTTGGTTGTGTGATCCACATAATGTTGTGTGACACTCGTTTACGTGAATGTACCCATTGTAGTGGTCTCAACATGGAAGCAAATGGCATGGAAATAGTAGTGGAATGCAGTCGAAAGGTACCGTTGAGAGGGTTCCTGCATCCAGTTCACTACACACCAGTCGTGCCGCATCTCCTGATCGTCGTTCAAGTCAACCCTCGAATTGTCCGATATCCAATGCTCGATATGCAGCTGCCGTTGCAAACACTAGCCATGTGAGTTATTCACTTTATTCAACCCGCTTTGTTCTGTCTTTTGGCACATTTCTCAAAGCATTCATTTGAATCTTAGAAATGACCTAATAACAGACATTTGAGTGAAGGAACTTTGAACGACAGCAGATCATGTTTTTCGTTTTGTAAGGGAAATAATTGCTCTGTCACAAAACAAACAATCAAAACGAACTTCACTAACGATTCAGTTGTATCCGTTCAAAATTTCTGTTGAGCTTTCGTTAGCATTCATTCCCTTAGCAAAATGCTCATTTAAAATCGGAACATTGCACTGTAATTGTGCGATGTTTCCCTGTTTATTTGTTGTAAACATTGAGACGACGTTTTCAGTGCGAGTTAAGGAATTGTTTATTTGAATTTTAAGAATGTGTAGGTGTGAAAGAGATCACATACATTTAGAGCAAGAAGAAGGAACACTGAATGAATGATGGAAGTATTGCAGAGAAAGTCTTGAATGATGCTGAATAGTTTCGTGACCAATTTCGTGTTCAGTATTTTTGAAAATTTTATTTTTATGAATCGCAGACACACAAGATGCTGCTTGTGCACTTCGTAAATGCACTGTTACATCTATCACATTACATCATTTACGTAATAAACAGATAATGCATTCACCGAAACTAGACGAAGGAATTGCATTGCTTGATTGCATTGCGTTTTATTATGTAACATTCATACTTGCTAACAACCATCTAAGTATGAGAAATCTGAAACAAAGTCAACGAATTTGTAAATGTTCACTGACTGTGCAGTAAAATCAATATTAGTCATTTGACCATAAATGTTTCGCATTCTGTGTCGACTGATAATTTATTCAATTATTCACAAACTGATTCATCATTCATGTGGTAGTTTCGATTCATCAATTATGAATCCCGCCCGCGAATTTGATTTGCGAAGAAGGAGGGGAATTGAATTCATTGAACTGAACTCTCATTTTTTTGTTGATGTTTATTCAAGTGATAAAGTCTGTGCAGTTGCGATTGTGTGCAGTTATCAGTTAACCATACTTTTCGTTTCAATTTGACGCGTTTCAGAAAGTTTTACCATCTGATCTCACAGTCTATTCAACGGGTAATCAAGGATCTTTTGCTAAAGCGCTCCTTTCGCCGCCACTCAAAGATGGAAACAAGGTTGGCATTTTTTTTTTTGTTTTGAGTTCGTTGTTTTTAAATTCTCAGTGATCTTATTTCGACTATTATTTTGAATCTATCCGGATCGTTCCTGATACTTATTCATTGAAAACTTTTGTGCAATGAGGAGAGTAATTGAAACAATTCGGCAACTCATTCTGTGCGCTATTCGTCTAGTCTGTTAGCTTGATATATCATTGCTGTGTGCATTCAGTGTTTAGAATTAGATGCTTATTGTTGTACATAATTTTCTCTACTTACGTGCAATGCGAATGCGAACAGTACCAAAATAGTGATGTAGTTGAACGTCGCATATTTTGAATAGTGCCGTGATGATAGATGATAATACTGAACAGAAGTGATAAACGAATGCACAAATGCTCTTATTTGTGTGATGTGATACGTACGGTTCAC